GGCTGGCCACCCACTTCTGGTCTGGCTTCTAACCACAAATTCATACTACATATTTTATAGGGTTATTGTGAGAACTGAATGGGCTATTGCTTATAACATACTTGGTACATGGTAGGCCTACATTAAATGCTAGTTACTAGTATCATGATTATAGACTACTCTTATCAAGAAAAACAGAGAAGGAATGTTCAGAGGAGGGCAAAGGAGAGTGGTATGACAGAAGCCAAGGAAAGAATTTTCAGAAGAGCATAACAGGATCAAATGCCGTGGAAGAATATGAGATATAGTGTGGAATATGTGACATGAGAGTGGAAATGAGTTTAAAGGGTCTAGCCTTTGGGACATAACAGGTGACTTTTGCCAGAGAGGTGTTTGTGGAAGGGCTGGAAACCAACCAATTGGTTGAAACTTGCACCTGAGTGGAGACGGTGCTGCTGACCACAGATGAGCAGCTTCACTGTGATGGAAAGGAGAAGAAACCATGGTAGTAGGCCTCCAGATGGAGCACAATTATAAACTTTGAGAAAGTAGCTAGCAAAGGTACTGTTGAAAATTCAGAAGAGAGAAACAATGACGGGACAAGTCCAAAGGAGATTAAAAGAGAAGGCATCAAGCTCATAGGTGGCAGAAGGCATTAGTCCTAAAGAATCAGGCCATCTCCCTCCCATTAACTCTGGGTGGAAGAAGTTAAGTTCAGATATAGATGCATTTGCAGGAAGGGAGAAAGTTGAGGGAGTGCACCTATGGAATATTGCATTTTTCTTAGTGAAATGGAGGCAGCATCATCTGCTGAGAAGGAGTGTGAAGCAAGCACTGTAGTGGTCAGTCAGTCAGTGTTAGATGAAGCTAGCCTAGAAGACAGGGGAAATAATTCCAGAGTGCTGTGCTGAAGGCACAGCTAAATTGAAGACCAAGAATTTCCAATGGCTTTAACACGTGGGTAGGAGTATATGATTCTCCCCAGCATCTCTCACTAGCCCAGATGGAGATATGAGAATCAGGCTGTCTGTGTCTTTGGGCAGGTCATAAAAGTTAGCATGAAGCTGAAAGTAATGGAAATGGGGACCAGTTGACCATAGTCCTCTCTGGTTCCTCATACTCTCCCGAGGCTTCAATTCTACAAACAAAATCTGTGCCTACAACTGGGACTGCCAACCACAGTTCTCAAAGTGAGAGTGCATTAAAGAACAGACTGTCAACACTCACCTCCCTACCCCCACAAATTCAAAGGGAAGAATCAAATTGTTAATTAAAGCACTTTACCTGGGACTTTCACAGTATTCCAGGATTACAGGTGGTAAAACAATATACTAATATTCATCCTTTGATTAAATTCTACAGCCTTCAAATTTGATGCATGCCCTTTCTTTCATCTAGGATAAAGCAAAGTTAAAGACACTCATATTGAGGCTTTTTGTATAACAAATAGGATTAGTAGGATTAAGAACCACATGGCACGTAAAATAAAACTACACTAATATTTAAATTATTCAGTATGTGTGCCTATGGCACATGTCATCCTGCTGAGTCAAGGGAACTTAAAGTATCTCTTCATTATCTTCATTCCCACAGTTATCTTTCAGGCAGGTACACAGCTAGGTTTCCCCTATAAACCTAGCCAATAAGAGAAAAACATTTAGCTATTGAAAAGAACAAAGAAGGAACTTTTTTCCTTCTAAGCTAATGCAAGAAGTTGCTTTAGGATGTTGATTTGAAACTGCTGTTGATTATTTTAATTGATATAATGAGGAATTTTTTTCCTTCTAAAAAATTAACTTGTGTCCTTTCATTGTTCATAAGAGAACAAAGACAATAGTTTTAAAAAAAAAAAAGTGACTACTGCAACATAGGATATTACAAAGCAATGAAAATACCAAGTATCCAAAAGAAAGAGCATCACTGGTTACACTCTCTCTGCTCTGAGAGGATTCCTGCCTATGAAGTCATTGCTCATGGAGACAGTTGTCTTTTTCTCTTTTGTTAATGGAGGTACTGGGGATTGAACCCAGGTCCTCGTGCATGCTAAGCATGCACTCTACTACTGAGCTATACTCTCCCACCGCCACCCCCCCAAAGTTATCTTTTCAGCGTCTCATAATAGGCAAATATGCCTAAAGCATTAGAGTGAACTAATCCTATTTCATTGCCTAAAATAATGCTAACCTATCAGTATATTACTCATAAACATGACTTAAAAAAAAAGATTTCATAAAGACACAGACAGATTTCCTAGAGAAGTCATCTGACTTAGGTTATCATTTGAATTTAATACTGGGATGTAAAGCAGAGTCACTGGAGCTTAGCCATCAGAAATCTTACTAACTTATTAATTAGCAAGAAGGCTAGAATTTACTTTGTAATTATAAACACCCTGGACTGCTGAATGAGAGAATAGCATAATTCAGTCAAAAAACTTGACAAGTCCCCTTTTATGTGTTAGATGAGTGAATACAAAATGAATAAGACACAGTTCCTGACCTCAAGAAGGTGTTTACAAGCCTCATCTTTCTGCAAATAACTGGGAGACAACATCAGGTCAGCCCCTCAGTGTGAGATAGCTCAATGCCAAATTACAATGGGGAAAGAACAGGAAGGCTTGCTGCCACTCATTCACTACAATGGAGCCACACCTTTTTAAGGAGAGGGTTATATTCCACAGTAAATGAGAGACAGTTTTCTCAGCAAAAATTACATTTAAACATGTCTTAGGGAATTGTGTGAAGCCATTTTGCCCAGTTTTTCCTGCATGACTTGAATGGATCATTGTTTCTTTGGCTGAACATCCAAGTTATGCTTAGAAACTAGGTCATTTGAAAAATATGTCTTTAAACAATGTATGTACACTTGGAAATATGGTTTTGTTTTATACTTGTTAAAAATCATAAATGGGATCACATTGTTCTTATTATCCATCTCATTTATTTTACACCCTTAAGACATTTAGGAGGTATTTCCATGTAAGTACCTGTGACAGTTTGCATTTTCCAAAAATGCCACAGCAATCTTTCTGGTCCCATATATTCTTTAAGAACCTTGCCTCTCCCCATCAGGAGATAGTCTATAACTATAACCCTCCTCTTAACCTGGATGAGACTCTGTAATGGCCTGAGCAAATAGAATGCAGCAGAAATGACACTGTATAACTTCTAAGCCTAGGTCATAAAAGGCAGTATGGTTTTACCTAGTACTGTCTTAGGATACTCGCCCTTGGAACCCAGCCATCAAGCTGTGAGGAAGCCCAAACCAGTCCACACTAAGAGACCACATGGAGAGGTCAACATGGAATCTGAGAGTTTCAGCCTGCAGCCTTCAGCCAGCGTTAACCACCAACAGGAGAGTGAAAAGTTTTCAGATGATTTCAGTCCTCAGCCTTTAAGTCCTCCAGTTGAGGCCCTGTGCATAATGGAGAAGAGAAAATTATCCCTGCTGTGCTCTGTATGAAATCTTGACCCACAGAATCTGTGAGCATAATAAATAGTTGTTTTATACCACACCTTGTGGGGGTACTTTGCAGTGCAGCCATAGTAACTGGAAGATTACCAATATATACCTATTTCAATCTTTTAAACAATGCCATAATTAATAGTAATATTCTATAGTATTCATGTATCAAAAGATCATTCCTGTATTGATAGATACTTAGATGGTTTGGAATAACTTATCCCTACTATAGACAAGGCTGAAACAAATAAGCTTCTACATGTCTATTTGTGCACAAGTGTATTTCTATAAAAACCTATGAGTTTTTATAACCTGTGAGTTAATAAATGCATGCGAGATACTTAGAACAGTGCATCGCATACTAACACATTTTTTATTATTATTATATTACCACCATCATATAAGTTGACTTCTAGTTAGAAGGTGACAGTTTTCCCTGAACTTCTTTAGTGACAAGGACCCTAACAACTGTATTTAACAACTATGCTACAATGTATCCTACTTCGTAGTTTAGCTTATGGCAAAAGTAGCAAGCAGAGAATTATATTCCTGAAAATATCCATCGGCTGCACACCTGACCGTCTCTACATTCAGTTTAAAAAACAACTTGCTCCGTGTGCTGGTGAGTTACACTACCTGCGTTCCTCTTAGAACAGATGGGCTGAAAATCATCAGCTGTGTGACTAGAGCGGAAACAACGGAGCCTCGCGCTCCAGCATGTGCGCAGTTTTCTTCCCTCCGCATCCGATCAGACAGACCACTTGGCAGAGAGAGGGCGGGGAGAAGGTTCAGGACACTTCTTGACCGGTGCTTCTCACCCCTTCAATTTCGGGTCACAAGTTTAAGAATGGGCTTCTTAGCCGTTGCCACTCTCTTCCACCATCTCTCTTTTAACTCTTCCCCAGGCGTGCTTGCAGCTACCCTGCACCTGTTATTCCCGTTAACCTCCAGTTTACCTGGGCATAGTAAAGGAGAGAGCAAGAGGGACTACCTGTTCACCTTCTCTTGCCTCGAAACGGGAAAGACTAAACTTTATTCATTTTGCAGTCGACCGGGTTTCAACAACCATTCCCATATTTTCACAGTTCAAAGCTTTTAACTTCCTCTCCTTTTCGATTTTCTCCCTTCATTTGCTCCATTTTTTAAGGGACTCAGGTAACCCGTCTCCTTCTCCCGGTCAGGGCAAAGGTTAAACGTTGTAGAGCTGAGGAAAAGCATTTTTAGGAGTCTTGTCTACGGTCGGGGCAGCAGGCCAGGAGCGGGCGGGCTTCGCTGCAGCTCGGTGGGAGCGCCTGTCCGGCCCCTCCCTCCCCGGCCCCACGCTGCAAGCTCCGCGAGCTAAGGAGCCCCAAGGCCGAAGACAGTGGGTTGGGAGCTGGTGACTCCAAAGCCCTCTGAGACGCCCCTGCCCCACAGCCCCACCCACTAGCACGCGGCCTGCCCCGAGGCCCGCGGGACACCTTCGTCCCCGCCCCTCCACAGGTCACCTCCCTCCACGCCCCTTTCCCTCGGCCCCGGCAGCCGGCAGGCAGGGAAGTGTCGTAAAGCCAGGCCCAGGAAACTTTACCCGGGGTAACAGCCGAGGCGCTTTACGGCGGCGGCGGCTGAGTGTGAGCTTTGGCGGCGGTGGAGGCGGCCGCGGCGGCGAAGGAGGCGGCGGCGGCGGCTGAGGAGGAAGAGGAGTGGCGGCAGTGGCGGCGAGGACCTGTGCGGGGTGAGCCGCGCGGAGTGGACGGGGAGGAGTCGCGGGTGACAGAGCTGGCGGATGGGCGCGGGTGGACGGGGACAGTGGCCGGCTGAGCAGCTGGGCGGCGCTGAAGAGCTGGGGGGGGCCCGCGGAATGGGGGGGCCAGCTCTGTGAGGGACGGTTTCTGCCTTTGTTTCCCCCCACCTCGGCCGCCCCCTGCTCTCCGTCCCTCTGCTCCGCACTCGTCGGCCGGGTCTCATGGCCTCCCCTCTCGGTCTGTGTCACTTCTAGGATGGCGGAGGTACCGCCTGGGCCTAGCAGCCTCCTCCCACCACCAGCACCTCCGGCCTCGGCGGCGGCCGAGCCCCGCTGTCCCTTCCCGGCGGGGGCCGCCCTCGCCTGCTGCAGCGAGGACGAGGAGGACGACGAGGAGCACCAAGGCGGCGGCGGCAGGAGTCCGGCGGGCGGCGAGGCGGCGGCGGCCAAGGGGCATCCGTGCCTCCGCTGTCCTCAGCCGCCGCAGGAGCAGCTGCAGCTCAACGGATTGATCAACCCCGAACTGCGGCACCTCCGGGCGGCCGCCTCCCTCAAGAGCAAGGTTTTGAATGTGGCAGAGGCGGCCACGATCACGGCCACCCCCGACGGGGGCCCCAGAGCGACTGCAACAAAAAGAGCCGGGGTACACTCGGGCGAGAGCCCCTCTCACTGCCTCCCCAATAATGCAAGAACTGCGCTCCCCAACCCGGCAGAGGCAGCGGAGGTGAGCGATCCCGCGGCGGCCCGCAATGGACTGGCGGAGGGCACGGAGCAGGAGGAGGAGGAAGACGAGCAGGTGCGGCTGCTGTCTTCATCCCTGACGGCCGGCTGCAGTTTAAGAAGCCCCTCGGGCAGGGAGGTTGAGCCTGGGGAGGATCGGACGATACGTTATGTCCGATATGAATCCGAGCTACAAATGCCCGATATCATGAGACTGATCACCAAAGATCTGTCTGAACCCTACTCCATTTATACCTATAGATATTTTATCCACAACTGGCCACAGCTGTGCTTCTTGGTAAGTGGATGGAATCAAAAAAGGGTGTACCCAGCAGAGAGATCCAGGCCGTGCGGGGCAGGGAGTGTGAGGGCTGGAGTGGCAGTGGAAGTATCCTGTATTTCATAGTACGTTACGTGATGTAAAGTGCGTGCACACACTCCTAGTTATTTAATGAAACTGTTCTGAAAGTAAGACTTCGTGATCCAGGTTAACTTGATACCAGTGTAAATCCAACAAGCTCATGTGATGCATGTTGGGGGGTCTTGTAGCCTGTTTACATTAGCTTATAATCATGTTTAGCCGTCTTTAATTACCCTCCCTCATCATCAAAGCACTTTGCAATCACTTAATTTGAACATGGTTCTGTTCAGATACAGGCCTTATTAATCTCTCAGTTACAGCCATAATCAGGGAAGAGTGTATGCATAAACATGTTTTGGTGAATATGATTGTCAGTAAACTTGCTGTGGCCACATGGAGAATTAAATCTTAGAAGCATAATTCTGTAATTATGGAGATTATTTCCTTTTACTTCAACAGGACAATTAACAGTTGTAGCCAGCCAGCCTTCTTTCTGGTGCACAGTTGCAGAAGGTGCTACTAACACTTTTGGTGGCTGAAAGACTCCTGAAACTTGAACAAAATACCCATCGGGGGAGTGTAGGAAACTAAGTGTGAAATTGTACTAGTCTGTTTTGTTTTGTTTTTAAGAAACTGGTCATAGATATACTTAAATATTAATAGTAATGCTGGCTTCTGTGAAATATAATTGACAGAAAATTTTTTATTTATACATGAGCAAAAAAGACTTGGCTACCAAACAAGCCAAAAAATTTTTTCCTCAATAATATTGACTAATTTCACTCTGTATGAAACCTTTCACTTAAATGTTGATGGCAGGTGTGTGCATTGTATCATGTACTCACAGGCATGTCATTTCCATTGAATTTTATTGGAGCAAGGCAACTGGCTTTTAAGGAGTAGTTTATGATATGTGAAGGGAAAAGCCACTACTATTATTTATTGTTTTAGAACTTAGTTGCACTCACTAGTTTCCTTCGAGATGCTTTGACAATACTTAGAAATCTATCTTTTTGCATAGGAATCAGTCTTGTTGATTCTGTAGTTTAGTGGTAATCTGAAAATATAACCTCAGTATTGTAGATAATGGTAGTTGTGCTGTTTTCTGCATTCACTTTGCTAAACTTCAGTTTAGTATGTTTGTTTAAACTGGGAACTATTTTATTTTCTACAAAACTGCTTACAGGATTCTAACCATTGTATCAAAATAGAAGTTCTAAGACATGTCTGTGGTGATGAATGGGAAAATGATTTTATAGCACTATTATAAATGTCATATCAAGTGCCATTATAAATGCTAAAAATTGTAGATTGATTTTATTGTAAGTTGACCTACAAAAACATACAATTTAGTCACACTTTAAATCGAAATAGTGTATGTATTTCTGTTAACTCCAGAAAATAGTTGTGTATATATGATATTTAGTCAACTTTTGAGTTCCAGTATTACCTAGACCTCCCTCAACTTCAGTGCCATTTTAGACTCTGATAAACTGAATATTACTCAACTTTGGGTTTGGTTTCTCATAGACTCCTACCACTTCACCAGCTATTTTGTACTTTAACCCTTAATAGCCAGTTTGTTTATCATTAAATACTGAATATTTAGAAATTGTGATATATAAATGTGGTTGACGTTATGTGTATCACATATACATATGTAAGATTTACTAAGACAAGTATGAATCTGAAAGTATTGAACATAAAACAATAGTTAAACAATCAGAGGCCATTTAGAAATGGGGCCTCTATATTGGCATTTTAAAAATTTAAATTTCACTTGGGAACTAATTTAAAACAAATGTAAGTTTGTGTTTAAGTCATATCAGTTTAGAACTATATAGAATCCTAGAGATAATCTAGTTCAATTTAATTTTTTTAATGCAAAAAAAATTAAGGACCAGAGTCACTTAAAATGTTCAAATCTAATCTCCAGATATTTAATGTCCAGAGATATAAAACTAGAACCCAAGTCTCCTGGCCTCTCATGGAAACAGCTAAGAACCTGAAAAATGACATACCCTTGACTTTGTCAGTGAAGATCATTATGTCACCAAGTTATGCGCCACTAAAAGACAGTTGTTCTTGCAAACATCAATCTCAAGAGATTAGAAGTCTCCAGAATGTTCCTGGTTCCATGAGTAACCTACAGTGGATCAAATGGAATATATGATGTTGAACCTTAGAAAACTGCCGATACTTGACCATATTTAACTAACAAAAATGATTATTCTAATGATTCTTCCTAATAATTGTAACAGATGTGAAAGTAGAGTACTGTACAAATGCAAGGCACTGTCAGTTACTCTGTCCTTAACTAATTTATCTCTGCCTCTTTTGAGTTCATTGTATTTTAGTTGTTGGTGCCTTTTTGAACTTCTTAAACTTATTACCAACAATATAGTATAGTACTTCCGTTTATTTGTTCCAGATTTAACTTTCCAGCTTCCTCTGTTTTCCTGTTTGTACTATTCTGGAATTTGGGAATCTGTATTTCACACAACTTACATTTTTCAAGTTTAATAGATTGATGAGCATTTGGCCTTATAGAGTTAAATTTTAATCTTGCCTGGAATTTTTTAGTTCCTATCCTTGAAAAAAGAATACATTTTAATGGCATGATTTCCAAATTTATGCGCAGAAGCTTTTATTTGGCAAAAATGACATGCAGTTTAATGATTCTTGTAAGTGCATTTTCATCAGCAGTTTATCAGGGAGAAATGCAGCATTGGCCTTCCTTATTACCAGCATCTTATTAATAACAGTGGATCATATATTGGGCTTTATTTTTAAATGATACATACCACTTGAATTTTGCTCCTACGGATTCTTGATTAGTAAGAAATCAATCTAGTCTAAGAGTAAATCAGTATAATACTTTGTTTGCTTATTACTTCCTTGGTTAAAGGGCAAAGATTTGTTTGAAATGCCTAACCAATTGAAAGTATTGTCCAGTTGTATTGTGTCTGGTAGTTTTAATTTTTTCTTCTTTCGGATGGTGTATTAACTGTAAAATGTAGCTGTCCTACAGTTTTGTATCATAGATTTCCATTTCACCTTGCTTATGAGGTCAGGTCAAAAACTTTTTTAATGTACCATTTCTTCCCGGGTATGTGCACACACAGCCACAGTAAGTTATGTTCAAATCAGAAAATGTCAGAGTTGTTCAACCAGGCAGCTTTTGTATATATTTTAAGTCTTAATTCAGAAAGAAATGTTGGTTTTCAAAAGAACTTTGAAAGAACTAGATTGATTTATCATGAATAAAAATGGAAATAACAATTTTAGAGGTTTATTGGCCCCAAAAGTTTTGGATTGTGTTGATAAAACAAATGAATTAGTGTGCACTGTTGAATTTAATATCTCCTCAAAAGGATTTTTCTGACCTAGTTTAGGTTTGCGTGGAGTGGATTAGAATTATCTTGCCTGAAGATTTCTCCACAGTTGAAAAAAGGCTTTTTAATCAATTTAAGGAATGGTGAACTAAAAAAGTCATAACAAATTCCATATAAACTAGATACTAAGTATAAATTGGGCTTTGCTCATTGATTTTTTTTTAACCTGCTTCTGGTTTTTGTTATTGAAATAGTTTCTTCTGAAAAATTAATTTTATTGAGATGATTTTTTTTTATGAAGGCTCTTTATGGCAGACGAGTATTTCTGTCGGATACATTATTAAACAATTGAAACTATTGCCTTATTTATATTTTTCAGAATACAGTGTTACTAGAACTTTGTCAGTGATGGAATTTTTGAAAAATATATTTTCAATGGTCATGCTGGAAATTTTAATGAAAATGAAGGCTGATTAGCTTTTATTTAATATGTAAATTTTCACTGCCTGGAAAGCTTTATGTTTTTATTAAAATAGAAAGCTCTGAAAAAATTATATTAAAGCTGTTGCTTTAATATAAAGCTTTGATTTTGAGTTCTAGATATCCTGTGAGCTTTGTGGCAGTGACTCACACTGTCAGAAGAGTCTTAAAAATGAGACCATTGTATGTCTAGTCTTTGTAGAGCTTCAATAACAAAAATCCCTTGGATAGGCTCTAAAAAATATCTTAAAAAACAATCCTTTTCCTGAAAATCATTTATATTTTTTTCCTGACCAAAATCTAACTCTACTGTTCAGGTATAAATATTATGTCTTATTTCTGTCTTTCACTAAAACTTTATTATAATTAAATATAAATTTATAGTATTTTGTTGGTAAGTTTCACAATGTTTTATCACATCCTAATGAAAAGTTTTTTTTTCTTCAAAAATGTTCACATTTCCCCTTTCCCAGATCTTAAACATGTAGGTCTTTATTGCAACTAATTATAAGCACCTCTTATAGAGTACTTGAATATTTACCATGTGGAAATCTTGCTTTTTCCCCTAAGCTTTACTAATGAGCATAAGAAATTCACGTGCTTAGGAATGTTGAAAGATTTTAAAACTAGAACATTTGAAGGAGTTCTGGGATTTAGATTTCTGAAACTTATGTGACCACTCTCTTGCTAGAATTCTTACTATTTCTTCTTCCTTCAAAAATACCAATGGTTGGTTGCTGTTTCCCTGGGTAATTGTGCAGTAGCTGATGGCAATGTATTCTTTGTAACTGTTTGTTTATTTTTAAGGCCATGGTAGGGGAAGAGTGTGTAGGTGCCATCGTTTGCAAGTTGGATATGCACAAAAAGATGTTCCGCAGAGGTTATATAGCCATGTTAGCCGTGGATTCCAAATACAGGAGAAATGGCATTGGTAAGAAAAATATTATGTCACAAAAAGAATGCCTAAGTTGTTTTCATTTTTGTTTTTTGAAACAAAAGACTTAAATGTAAATACTATATAGAAATGAGCATGAAGCTAAGGAAAGAAAATTACGATTGTTTTTATTTCAAAATATTTTCAAAGTGTTTTTAAAATGAATTGTTGTCTTTATTAATGTTTTAATTACTTGAGAGATTATCTTTCTAACACTTACTAGGTGATCAGTTTTCACCTTCCATTTTTTTTTTATCACATCCAAAATGGTTTGCACTATAGTTAGTTCTGCAGTTTTTAATAGCATTATTAGGGTGCTTGATCACAGCCCTAAAGCAGCTCTCTGTTACTTGGGTTAAATGGTGCTCGATCACAGCAAAATTATGGAGAAATTGTTATTATTATTTAGTATTAGTCATCAAACATATTAGCAATTTAGGGAGGACCGGAAAGGAGAATTGTTTCTTACTACTATTCCCAAGTTCATCTCTTTTCTGGGCTACTTTTCCTGGCAATTTCAGTTAATCTTATCCTCATGGTTCATAATGGTCATTAGAATCATCTGGGTGGTTTAGAAACAAATGGTTAGGCCCCTCCCCTTGAGAATCTTGTTTGTCCTTTTAGGAGTAAGGCTGAAATTTCTCCAGGGGACTATGATGTAAGCCTAGTTAAGAACCACTGTCCTAGTGTCTAGGACCTACTGGCTTTTTTGTTCAAGATAGAAAATTAGATAGACAAGCCCTCGTCTGAGCATGGCAAATTCTGAGATGTACTGAAGCTAAGTCAATGTTCATGAAAGAAGACTTGATGCCTGTACTAGTATTTAATTACTAGCAGTTTTGTCACTTGCAGTTTTTTAAACTATAAGTGTTCATGTCCAATTTAAGACTTTCACACAATCATGAGAAATCATTTTGAATAGGTTTAATTAATACATTAGGTTTAACCGGCTTTCCTTATAGTAATATAGTTTGCCACTAAAATTTTTAATAAATTGAGCTTATTACATAAGCCAGGTTTGCATCTTTCATGTATTAAAAAGAACTGATAAAGACTCATGGCAAATGATAGGCAGATTGTCTGGTTACTTCAGAGAGCAGAAACCAGTGCCTTGAGGACTACATCCTGGTCCTCAGATGTATTTTATAGCCAGGTAACACAAGCTTACTGGTGTACATGATTTGAAAATTAAGAGATTTCTTTTAAAATTTGGATTTCTTTCTTCTCTTAAAATCAAAGTTGGCACTTGCTTTCCCTTTAATATACGAAATGTACCTGACCTTAAACTGGGATACAGACACACTACTGACATTATTTTGGAGTGCTGGACCTCAGTGTGCCCAGGCTTACTATGAGGTTTGTAGGAACTAACCCAGTATCTTGGGCCCACTCTGGGTCACAGCACTTCCAGTGTGATCTTTGGCAAGATTGGCTCAAAGTCATGCCGTGAGTTCTTGCCAGCTGAAGGAGTTCCTGGATTGCATTGGCCATATATTGCCGTTTTCTTTTTTCCCTTTCCTCTTACCTTCGATCAAGATAGCATAAACTTCTATTTGGAGCAAATAATTACACCTGAGGAAAAGGGATATATTGGGAGGTAGATCTTTCAAGAAGAAACTTATTTTGCTATGCATAGTTTCTGTTGGCCTCTCAGTTTAAATCTATAGATTTTTTCCCACTTAATTTGAGGTAATCTGTGTATCCACATCCAAGGTAGAATCCAGCATTTGACATTTCTTTGCTTCTTGTAAGTATCATAATTTAGGTATCTTTAAGAAACTAACTACATTTTTCCGTCATTAATACTCAGCTCTGTGTTCTAGGTACTAACTTGGTTAAGAAAGCTATATATGCCATGGTTGAAGGAGATTGTGATGAGGTAAGTGTTTCTAAATGTTTATCCTGGGCTATATTCTACTGGGTATTTTTTATAAATGTCCCATAATAAATTGTACTGCAGATTTCATTACAAATTATTATTATACAGATACAACTTGTGCTGAAAATTATATTCCATTTAAAACACATGAATTTTGACCTGGAACAAATTTTAAGGTGATAATGGGAGCTAAAATTTGTTCTGTGTCAAAATGTAAAGGTGAAATTTTAGATGTTTTCAGCAAATAATTGGTATTCAGAGCTCTGATTTGTTACCAGTTAAATGACTTAAGGTAGCTCTAATTACAAATATTATTGTAGTTTACTTGTATATTGGCCTTGGTTTCTCTCTAAATAATACTTTTTTTTACAGCTGTCAGCCCATGTCAGAAGCCTTTCACATTTGAAAAAACTTCTCAGTATTAAGTAATAAGGCTGTCATGGGGAAAGACAACCGCTTGTTAAACATGGGGCTGTCTGTATTTAACATAAAAGCATCTACTCTTCACTGTGTTTGTAAGGCCTGGTGACAGGTGTAATTTCTTTGTATCCTGTAACACTGTTCACATGATGGGTGCTCCATAAATAATAGTGATGTTTGGGAATGGTAAGATTTACTATTAGGTAATGCGGAAGGGAATAAGTATAAACTAAGGAAGTATAGGTATCTTTAATATAACAGTGGTGATTAAAAAGGACAGAGGTGTACTGTGCTAGTAATTTTATGAGCAGTACAGCTAACAATTTCTTTATTATTGGAGGGCAAATGTGCCTTAGAGAGTTCTCAAAATACTTGAAATTAGGTAATTTTTTTCTCAGTAGACTGACCTCGATAAGTAAATTGTTCTGGTTACTATTTTTTTTAAGTGCAAACTTTTTTTGGTACAAAATTTGTACAGAATCATTAACCATTATATGTATGTGTATTTGGGGGTGCAAAATCCCTTCTTTGACCATCTGCATGCTTTTCGACTCTTTATCCTTCCTTCCACTTACAGCTACTATTAATCTTGCAGTTTGCATCCTCCTCCTATTTTCTAAGCATATACTTTTTTATACAAATGAAATGACAATTATTATTCTGCAGTAACTACGTTTTCCATTTAACAATATCTCATGAACTTGATTCCACGTCAGAATGCAGATGTATCGCAGAGTGTTCTCATGCTCCTTGTCCACATTCGTAGTTTGTATTCTGACAGATCACACTAAATAAACTGGTTATATGAGAAGGCCTACAGACATACTGGGCAGCACAGGGAAGTCATCCTGAGATTTAAAGATATTTAATTTTACCCCAAATAAGATAATTTATACCCAGCAAAGGATCTCATATTCACAGCTTTTAATTTCAAAAAGTAAAAGGTGCAATTACCCTGATTATTTACATCATTGGTAAACTAAAATTTGAATATAAAATTGAGTATAAATTTATTCACGAGTATTAGTCTCCATGTCTGGACCATAGCCATACTGGCTTAGGTAGGTTATCAAGAAGAGAAGTCGGGCTTCACAAAAGTTGCTTAACAGTTTGGAGAGGTCTGGGATTACAGGACCATTTTTGATCCTCTCCTGAGTAGTGTGGTTCCCAGTGAACAGGGATGTTATGAGGAGGGAGCATTATGTTGCTTGAGTTCTCCTCGTTGCCGCCTGTGACGCAGGTAGTATGCTTTACTGCAACTGATCGCATTTTTAAATACTATTGATTTTCCTTTGAAAGTTCTGAGGAATGGTACAGAGGTTTTGGTTATATTGTTGTAATCTCAAGGTTAAGTCCTAAATTAGTGATACATTTTATGGCAGAAATACTCTTTTCGTTGTGGGTCTAAAATGCTAATTCTAATTCTTTGTCTTGAAATGATGAGTTTTCCTTAATCTTAGAATGAAATGGGGATAATTACATGAACTTATTTCTGTTGTATGGTTTTAAATGGATAGTTTTCACAGTTTGAATAGCTCTGCCTCTGCATTAAGGAACTCTTAAACTCATGGTTTAAAAAAGTTGATTATTTGTGTCCCATATTGTTCAGGTAAAGAATTTGCTGTACAGAGGGATGAAACTTTTGTTTACTCTTCATAAGGCTTTCATGGTCCCTTTCATTGAATTTAAGGCATATAAGCAACAAACTCTTCTATCTCCTTTTCCCTTCTAATTTTTAATAGTAGTATGTTTGTTGGTTCTACTTCCTTATGTTACCATGTCATTGCATTGGGTTTGGTTTCTTCTGCCTCCATTCCAGTGTAACTACTTTGTATTTGCTAGACCCATTAGCTTCTTGGTCTTCCTCTGCTTTTTAAAATATTTCTCAGTCTTTAAAATTCAATTCAAATATCAGCAACTCCTTTTAAGTTTTCCTTAATCCTTCTGGATAGAATCAGCTGTACTTTCTGTAGTCTTCCTGACCTTCCTCTTTGGATGCTGTGCTTCCATTTGCTTATTCGGAGTCTGTGCCTTAGCCCCTGAGAGCTGAGATGCTTTTTCATGGTTACTGTTGTATTCTTAGTACTTAGTGTAGCATTTATGGTAGAGTACATGCTTCATAAATATTGGTTGAATGATTAGTTCTGTGCTTCCAGCATCTTATCTGTGCCTCTTTTTTTGGAGGGGGCAGTTTTGAATTTTGATGTATCTAACTAGCTGTTAACTTGTCTTTCTCTCTAAGCTTTCTAGGAACAGCAATTGTCTTTTTTTTTGGTCCATAAAAATGTATCTGCAAGGTTAACCCAGTTGTTAAAGTACCATTTTGTAAAATTATATGTAAAAATAGTCTTGTATATATAGTTCATTGTTCTGAGGGAAACTTTGAAATTATAATTCTCCAAGAATACAACAACCAATTATAAAACAACCAATATGTGATTTTACTTTTAAGTTAGGCCAACCTTCCTTTCTTTTCAAGTTTAAGAAATTTTTACAAATTATCAGAAAGACATTTGAGAAGTTTTAAATTACATCTTCTACTACTTAGGTTGTGTTGCTATTTTTTATTCTTACAGAGAGGAGCCTATTAAGAGAGATACATTTGGAAATTTCTATGAACCTGTACCATGCACATCCACTCAGTTTTTATTTTCTATTCTGTTTACAGAATTTATTTATGACCTTGAGTCATGTTTATATTGTTTTTGGTTGCCATTTGTCATTTTAAAATAAATTCAGAGTAAATTAAACAAAGGTTAGTAATCACAGAGTTGAAATGTAGATTATGGTTTTGCCCAAATAACAATGATATGCTCTTCTGGTCTAATCGATATTTTCGTTTTGCTTTATTGTGGCTTTTCTAACTCTTTATATCAGATTTAGGCATGTTTAAACAGTGTATCTAAAGATCTTTTTCATTTTCCATATATTTGGATCTGACTAAAAAGTTGCAGTATCGAAAAAAAAAAGACAAAACATTACTTCATGAATAAGAAGTGCAACACCTATACTGCTAATCTGACTTGAATTTGGTTACATCGCTATGTGCTCTGGCTGCCAAATGTTTAGTGGCTACTAGGACAGGCTTCTTGGGTCTGGGTTTTACATAGGGGGAAATAGTAAGAAAAAGACATACAAATAGCATGAAGAAGTTTTCTTGTGTACCTAAAATACTGAACCTATATGGTGGCCATTTACTTTTATGTACTTTTTTCTGAAATAAATTAAAATGGGGCTGGTGATTGATCAGCACGCTGAGAAGTGCTTTACTTTTTAAGCTGTAGATGTCCCTGAAATGGCCATTGCTGTAAATTTAAATTTCAAAAATTTTTTAGATTTATGATTGGTTACCATGATACTAATACTCAGAACTAGTTCATATATGATGAGAATATATTAGAATCAAAGTTTCTTAATGGAATTTAAGTGTGCAGTATGTGACCTCACAACATTTTTAGTTGACCAACATGGTACACCCATGTTGTCACACAGAATTTCTGTTTTCAAGGCTATAAAATATTGTGTGTGTGTGTGTATATATATATATATTTACACACACCACTTTTTCTTTATCCATTTGTTGATGGACGTTTAGGTTGTTTCCATATCTTGGCTATTGTGATAATGCTGTAATGAACAAGGGGACCTCTTTGAGGTCCTGATTTTTCTTCCTTTGGTTATATACCCAGAAGTGGGATTTCTGGATCAGATGATAGTTCTGTTTTTAATTTTGGGGGGGACCTTCCATAATGGCTGTACCAAATTACCTTCCCACCAGCAGTGGCCTAATTTATTTACATAACTAATAATAAAACTGTTACATGTTAACAAAATAACATACATTTTATGTAATGTACAAGATGACTTTTAAGCTTTTGCTGTTTAATGATTATATGTTTAACGTTTTTAGTTTCACTGGAAACATACTTTTTAGCTATTAGAGGCTGCTAGGAAAAGAACAGAGTGAAATGGAATTAATGAAACTATAAGGATTGTTGGTTGAGTAGTTTGGCCTAGTTAAAGGACTGAATACAAAAGCCTGGTGGGTTCTGGGTCCATCTTCTGTCAGTACAGTTGAGTGACTGTAGGAAAGTCATTGTCTGTGCCATGTGATGGTAATTCTGATCTTAAGGGGATGTTATGAAGAGCGATAAAATGTTGGTTCAACAATATCAGTGTAAGGCCTGTGAGGTGCTAACAATAAGTTAGTCCTTTCCCTCCTTCCAGGACCTCCTAGCCTATAATATTAAAAAAGGCCTTCTAAACTGTAATGGTTTGGCTCATCCCGACAATGGTTTGTTCCTGAGAGAACTGATAGAACTTCACTGTAACCCCTTTTGTTCTGTTAAGTAGGATTCAATTTGCCCAAGTTTCTTTAGGATTAAAAACAACCTCCTTTGGCTTCCTATGTAACAATCCCATGATGGTGGACTCAAAGAATAGTTTTATAGTGAGTTTCCAGTATAAACCCAGATTCTCTTTTAATATATTTATAAGAATTTTAGTAATTATTAAGACGTAGTTGCTTTCTTTTGTGGCATTTTCTGTTGTGTCAAATAGTATATGATCTTTTTGTTCAAAGAATGCAAGTGTGCTGAGAGAATTTTTTTCATTTTAACCAAGGTGTTAGCCCTTTGTGTATTTTTTTTCCTATGTAATTGGGCTTTATTTTATTAATGTTAGGATGCCAATAAACCTGAATTCAACTCTTAACTTGTACCTCCAGTGTATATTTATGTAGCCATAGTTAGCCTCAGATGTGTTTTGAATATTTCAGATTGCCACATATTAATGAATATTGACTTAGGTCCCCTTCATCATGTTAGATCTCCCATTTGCTGCTTTGTTTTACTTTGGGAAACAATCAGAGGTACAGAAGAGTGGATATTGTTAAGCTCTAGTTCAGTTTTGGATTCTGGTCTAGTTTTGTTCTACTAGTGGCCTTGAGTTTTACTCATTTACAAAATTGGAGATTTATCTGTTTCATGGGGTTATTGTGAAGATAACATGATAAATGCATGTAATATGACATAATGCATGTGAAGTGCTTTACATAGCACTTAGTAAGCCTTCAATAAATATTAGTTTTTTTTTACACTGTCACTCTCCTTTTTATTTCTGTGGAATCAGTTCTAAGTTTTGACTTGTTGAAGCTGTATTGCTTCTCATATTAATAGTTTTGACTTCACATTTTAGCTATAATTAGGTGCTAATCTTAAAAAAAAGAATTCTAGGAAATACTAAGAGAATAGTTCAAAACTGGTAAATTGCATTGACCAGACTGGAGACATTACTGAACATTAAATTCCATTTTTAAAAAACATTTTAAAAAGTCTTATTTTTTATTGAAGTTAGGTGGACAGCAAAGCAATTCAGCTATACAGACCTACATATATAGTTTCTTTTTCATTACAGCTCATCACAAGAAACTAAATATAGTTCCCTATGCTATATAGTAGGTTAAATTCCAGTTTTTTAAGAGCAGAAAGAAATTGTTAACTTTTTATTCTTAAACCTATTTGTTTGCTGTATAACTTTTATTTAAGGACTTCTTGGAACATTTTCCCTTGATCCTGAACTATTAATTGCTTATTTTTAGATCTTTAAAAAGTGTAGATTTAGCATGTGATTTGTTCTCATGAGTTGTTTGCATAGGTAATTGCCTTAAGATGATACTTTCTCTTTAAGTACTTTGGTCATTTAAAAGCTTGGCAGTACTTTTGTTTGTTTTGTATTTGTATGTAATAGAATGAAATATGCTAAAGATGTATATAATTAACAAATGTTTAAGAGCCTTCTACGTGTTGTGTATCAGGTGCAAAGAAAACAGATGTGAAAGAATTACCCATGATCCCTGTCCTTGTTGGGCTCACCAGCTAGGAGAGATATCATACTCACCAAATGTTGAATGAGCGTGCAGTTGAACAAGGATCAGTGCAGAGTGCTGTGGGGTAGTACGAAGGGAAATGGATACTCTAGCAGTCTGAAAGTGACATGCTAAAGCCAAAAGCAAGAAAAGTGGACAGGAAGAGCTTCCAGACAGAGAAAACAGCTAATGTGAAAGGTCTAAGGTGGGAAAGATAATGGAGGGTTCTAGAAACTGAAAGTTTCTTGTTGATCGTGGAGAGCAAGAAGGGTAAACCTAAAGCACAGTTAGCAAGGTAGATAGAGGCTATATCTTGATGGACCTTTTAGGTCTCTTTAGGCTACTGTTAGACTGTGGACTTTTTCTTGCAGACAGAAGAGAATCAGTAAATGGTTTTAAGCAGGGAATTTACAAGGGCATCACTCAGAATAGACCTTTTGAGTTAGGAAGTTCTTGTATTTACAGTGAAAGTTGATGTCAGCTTAGACTGGAATGTTACAGTGGAGATAGAAAGAAGATGATCAGTTTGAGAGAGATTTAAGGGACAGAATTGAAATACTCCATGGTTGAATGTATGTAGATGGTGAAGAGGAAAGAGGTACGAAGATAACTGAGGTTTCAGGTTTGAGGCATTGATGGGGTGGAGATCTTGTTACTAATGTGTGGAACTGTAGAGAAGTAGATCCTGAGTTCAATTTTGAATACAACTGAGTTAAGGTAGTCTTTTCTCTTTTGTTTTTATCTGTTGCTTGAATCCTTGTCATATTTTTTAATAGCTTGAGATAGAATAGGAAGAAACTCGTAGGCTTTACTTGGGACTTTGTTTAGTTATACTTTGCCCTTTTTTTCCACTCCAAACAACTGAGGGTTTTGACATCCCAACAGCAACTGTGACTCACTGTTGATTCTCAATAAGGTAGGTTGAGAATCGATAGAAAGGCAAACAGAGCTATAAATGTAAAGGGTGGGAGGATGGGATAGAAGATACGGTGGTAGAGGAAGGTAGAAAAAAAAAATCACATAATATTCACACTTATCAGTTCTTCATTGTTAGGGCCATTGGTTCAGTGATATTTAAAAAGACCCAGATAGTAGTTAATACTTTATGTATTCCTCTAGGTGTTGATATCCATAATGTCTAGACAGTGATTCTCAGAATGTAGTCTGCCTACCAGCAGCATCAACATCACCTAGCAACTTATTAAAAATGCAGACTCTTGGCCCTACTCCAGTGTTCTCAGAAACTCTGGTGGTAAGGTGCAGCAGTCTGTTTCCACAAGCCCTCCAGGACACTAAAGTTTGGGTACTTTGATCTAGATTTGGCTAACTTTTTCTGCACAGGACCTGATAGGAAAAACTTCAGGCTTTGCAGGCCACAGGTCTCTGGAGCAACTGCTCAACTCTGCTGTTGTATTGAGAAAGCAGCCATAGACACCATGTAAACGAATGGGCATGGCTGTGTTACGAAAAAACTTCATTTACTAAAACAGGCAGTAGGGACATTTGGCCCAAGGGCTATAGTTTGCAGACTCTGGTCTTGACTTGAAACAAATTTGGTAGTTGTCTCTGGGATAAAGGATAACATATTAATGAAAATATAGGAGTTGGAGGTAATCTGAATAGTTTCAAGTAATGGTTTATTTTCTTAAACCTTTGATTGTTAATTTTTCTTTTTGTCTTTTTGTCACACTACTTTTCTTCACAGAGAACTAATTCATCTTTGTTTTAGTATGAAACATATTCTCATTGCTAAAATTCCCAAACATTTCACAAAAATCAGTAGAACAGAAAATGTCCCCATTGTTCCCACCGCCCTTGCCTTAAGAGATAATTACTTTTGCCAAATTCTGCTGACTCTTTTTCTGGATTCTAACTGTACATCATTAATATGTATTGTTTTCACCATCAATTTTAAAACAGTTAAATGTAGTATGTTTTTCTTAAATATTTGATCTTATTGTTTATAAGTGATTTGTCGAATTATGAAATTATAAATTAGTTTCAAATATATAAACTTATAACTTAGCTTTTTCTTTTTTTTTGAAGGTTGTTTTGGAAACAGAAATAACGAATAAGTCTGCTTTGAAACTTTATGAAAATCTTGGTTTTGTTCGTGATAAGAGGCTGTTCAGATACTATTTAAATGGAGTTGATGCGCTGCGACTTAAATTGTGGCTGCGTTGAGAAACTGATGACATCAAGGAACAACTTTCCAACCATGCAGAATCGACCTTTGCATGCAATGCAATTTGTACAGAATTGCTTTGCAGGTGGATTTAGTAACTTCCATGCAGCTCTTATCTGTCAGTGTCTCATTTGAGTGTCGCACAATATTTGTTGCACTTTGGCATGGCGCATTTGTTCTGAATTAAAAGAGATTGTTTTAAACTTAAAGAGTTCTTTTGGTACCAACAAGATGTGCCAGTTGATAGCCAAGATTTGTTTGTTCATTTGCAAAGTCTGCTGACTATGTTATTTACACAGTGATAATTTTATCACAGAACCAGTAAGTGGAACATGATTTTTGTTCCTTAAAAAAGCCAATGTAGATTGTAAAAATCTCTGAGTATACTAACATTTCACACAAAACCTGCCATAGTTTTCTGAAGGGGGTGGGAGGGAAAGCTTCAATTTTAGGTTTTATTTTTTCAATATTAAATTTTCCATTCTTGAATATTGGTACCTCAGTGATTAGTGAATGAAAACGTTATGTAGGGTTGGGTGTGTCTTACAATGAGTAAAGATAATTAAATTGCGTCTGCCAGTGCCTGTGTAGATAAGTATACTTGTCTTCATCTCTAGTTTTTGAATGCATGCTATCTTTTCTTTTTCTTTAAGGCCTTTGCAAGCAAACTTTTGTTTTTATTTAAATTCTAAATTTGATAATAAATTATTTCAGATTTTTATAATTTGGATACTTTTTCCAGGTGAGTGACAGAGTGGTTTACTGTAGAAGTCCCTTCTTTCCTTATAGTAAGAAGTTGAATCTACTTGGAAAATCTTTGAGAAATCACTCAAAAGGGATGAGAAAAGTTGATGAAGCCGGGAATTGCTGGGTTTTGGATGCACTTTTTTTTGAGAGTGAGGGAATTTTTGGAAAAGAATAGAAAATTAATGTAAATTGGTATGATTTTATTTAATCAAAATTATTGCTGAGCTGTGAGGAACAGCTTTTACAAAGTAGTTGGAACTTTTTTCCCCACTTGGTTTAGATTCACATTGCTTCCATTTCTTAAAATGCTTCACTTTGGGTTCTTGGTCTTGGAAATAAATTTCAAGGTGCACTGTGTCCATTTTAAACTGATTTTCTTTTCACTTATTTTGTGCAAATTCCTGGGGGAGCTTTGCTTATTAGTTCCCAGAAAAACAAAAGGGAGAAATGGAAATTTTTTTTTGGAATGAGTTCCATGGGTTTTCTTAATTGCCATCACCATGTTCATTAGTTTCATTGTGTTTTGGCCAATCTGTGCAATGTAACAAATTTTGAAGTTGATTGCTTTCAACTGAGTCAGGAAAGTTGTGATGGATAATTTATTTGACTGGAAAACCTAGGTGCCCATTAAAAAAAAGATTCATTCTCTGTGAAAAATGTTTTGTAGGAATCTGTTTTGTTTTTTTCTTTAATTTGGATATGCTTTTCTTCTGCTCTAGGATTTGGTTTGAATTTTATTTTATGGCTATAATTACTGTATTTTTAAAAACCCTACCTCCATTAACAGTTGGTAAAAGCCCCCTTTCAGGAAAGTTTGTTGCCTTTTTTTTTTTTTTTGATAAAGGAAAGCTGCTCCTTGCTCAGTGTAGTATCTTGAAAGTGAACATGGTGACAAGTACTTTTAAAATAAAGATACACAAATTTGGTGAAAATAAAATCTTCCTGCTGATGGGATCATTTGTGGTTCCTTATTTTTAACAAAAACTTTTTCTTTCCATTTTATATTGCTCTGGAAATTTCAATGGGCAGAATACTGGTTACATCAAAAATATATGACCACACAGTACTCAGCTTTTTAGCTGACTGTTTTGAGTATGTTTTGGTCAGACTTCATTTGGACTCTAGCATTTAGAGGAATACCAATCATAGTGATGCTTCTGTTATTTTTAATATGGAGGGAGTTGAACTAATAGTTCAGTACTTTCATTATCAAATTTTATCTCACGAGTTTATATTTGACTTGCTGGTTCATTAAGTAATGATTGTTGATGAACATATGTTTGCTTGACTCACTAATTGGGACAGTTGTATAGTAGATACATGATAAGATTTTTAGCTCAACCATTAATTTTTTTTGGCAGTTTGTCAATGAAACCATCACTTACAGAACTTTTCACCCAAATTGACCAGATTTTGCTGAATTGACTGGGTGTTTTAAATATGAATTTAACCATGTGACTGAAAAGTCAGATGGTTGTCATATTGTTCAAATGGTGTATGTTGACTATCACTGTCTACCTTGTGTCTTTAATTGGGTGTGCAGAAATTTTTTACTTAAGTAGACTAAAAATTTTATCCTCTAGCATGATAACCCAGCACCAAAATTGTCTCCATTCCAGTTGAAGTAGAATCAAACATTCATTTACTTTTTGATATTGGGCTTTCATTTTTTTAATATACTCTTAAAATAATTCCATTTAAAATTGATAGAGCAAGTTCACTTGGCTAAAACTGAGCAAAATTGGTGCAACTTTCTTTTAATGGGGTGCTGCCTCTTTAAGACTGACTGTACTATCCACTGACACTGGTTTGGCAGTTGGTACTGCTGAACATTTTTATATATGCTACCATGAAGCTATATATGTTAGTATTGAAGAAGCTAACGGGTATACTACCATTTTTGATGTGTGGGCTGATTATAATTTCCTTTACGTTAGGATGAAACTACTGTAGAGATGTTCACAGATCATAAACCAGACAGTAGTTTTTGAAGTTGAAGCCAGCAAAATTTAAAAAAAGGAAAAAATTACTATTAAAAATTGGTTTTAATATTTTCTGCCTCTTCCCCCAATTACCCTCCCCATTTGCTTGACAAATCTTTGTAAAGAAGTTTGTTTGTCACATGTTCTAACTTTACCTTGCCCTGTGTTATGGTATTGGCTGACATGTATAAGACTGGATGTGTATATTTATTATGGTGTCTAAAAATCATGAAGTTCATCACTTTCCAGGAGCATAGATAAAAGCAAATTGGTAGTGCATCAGAGTTACTTTTCAGTGCACCATGACATCACTAAAACGAGTGCTATAATGTTACAGGGCTTTCAGGTTTGTAAAAACATAACCATAAATTATATTGACGTCAGATATGAGTTGAGTATCTATAAAATATCACGTGTATCTCAAAATAATGGACTGCTGTTTGATGACTGGATATTGCTGCATAATTTTCTTCTATTGTCCCATATCCTTTTGGAGAGAGAGATTTAATGGGATTCGAAATGTGCAAGCTGTCTAAATAAGATGCAGTCAAATAAAGTATGGTTAAGTTGTGTTTGCATTTTTCTTTTAGATACAGCTGTGTGCATTTTATGTTTGAGTTGTTTTACCTACTATGAAGAAAAAACCAGGCAGTCTATTCAGTTCCCCACTTCCTGCCTCGCATCCAAGAGTTATTTGGAAGAAGTGATGTACAGTTATCTCTTTCACTTTATGTTCTGACAAAGTAAATTTGAAAATAACAACATGAACTTGATTTTCCTAAAAGTGTTCAAAGTTGCTCAGCTCATATATCAGCTATCAATACAAATGAGTGCGCTTTTGTGTGCATTAAACCAAAACTTTTTTTTGTCCTTGTTCCATAGCAATTTATTCCTAAGACAGTTTTTATTTTAATTTACTCTCTTTTGTACTTAAGTAGTGTTTTTCCCCCCTTGCTAAGACCAAAGTAAAATAGAGGAATATCTAAGGGGCTTTTTGTCCCATTCTTTTGAGAAACTTTAACTGGTGGTTATGCCATCCTTTCATATTTTAAGATTAACGGATATTAGTAGAAGAGATCTCTCTTAATTGTGATTGCTAAGTTACTTTAATCATGCATTACAAATCTTTACTTTGTTCTTTTAAGGTCATGTAGTGAAAATATCTGAGTTCATGTTTTACTTGGGCCCCATGTGGAACTCTAAATACTTCATAAATTGTCTAAATAAGAACCAGAAAGTTGGTATCATTCTTTCACACTTATGAACAGAGATCAGTAATAAGCTGTAGCCTAGAGGTATGTTGATGCTTTTAAGCAACTTTTACCAAGTGAGTTTGAAAAACTTCACAATTATATAGCACATTGCACTTTCTTCAGGTCAGTGCCGTCCAATAGTAGCACTTTCTATGATAGCAGTGTTATTTGTGCTCTTCAGTATGGTAGCCACTGGTCACATGTAGCTACTGAGCCCCTGAAGAAAGGCTAGCATGATTGAAGAACTGAATTTTTAATTTTAATTAATTGGAGTTAATTAAAACAGCCACATGTGATTAGGGCTCCTGTATTGGATGGCATAGCTTTAGGTAATATTTAGGCAGTAATAACTGAGGAAAGTATTTTATGGAAAGGGTTTTTAAGACTATACTGTTTAATTTGAAGAATAAAATAGAAGGATCATGATTAAAAATTGCCTCAGAGCAATATACTCTGCAAAAGAGTATAGCTGCAATGTTCTGTTGACAGTCTATTTCATTAAAATGCTATCTGTCACCACCTGTCTCCCTATTCCTGTTGTGATGCAGCCCTGAGAAAAGCAGCCCTTTCAGTTTTTATTGGTTGGAAGTGCTCTGGGTTGCAGAGATGCACAGATTCAAGTGCCAAAAATTGGTTTCTGATGAGACTGTTGTATCTTTTTAACATTAAAATATTTTACATCATTAAGCCTAATGATTTCTCATTTTAAATGAATCTGAAATCATTTTACCTCTAAATGAGCTTGGTCATTTCTTGTTTTAGCAGTGATCAAACTGGAACATGGAGGTATATCATATTTATACTTTAAAAAAAAATTCTAGAAGATCACATGTTGATACAAGGACAGGTGACTTTGTTTTTGAGAGAACCAGATTAATTTTGCTGTGTTCTCTGATCACATCACCCTTGATTCTAGCTGGTCATGTAGTAAGTGTAATTAATCAAATGAGCAGGAGTGGAGATGGGAAACACCTGGCCAGGAGGAATACCAGGCGTGGTATGGCCCATTAACACTGGTGGGGAAAGAGCTCAAGGCACACGTTCTATTGATAGTAATGGGTGTTTAATCTTCATGTGAAAAAGACCTGAGAATAACAAATACCACCAAAGTGCCAAAATCTGTCTTTCACTGCTCAAAAAAAAAAAAAAATGTAAACAATGCAGGGGTTATAATGTAAGGTTTTAATAATGCTAAGAAATAAGCTCATTTTTAGTTGGTGAATTTTTATGACTACCTCTTTGCTGTATGAATATATCTCAGTTTTCTAATACCTCAATTTCCTGAGAATCTGTATGTACATTTTTGTAAATAAAATAATTTACCATATACTAGAGGAAGGACCTGGCTTTTAAAGAAATTGTATAAAAGACATTTGTTACTGGATTTGTTACACAGTGAATCAGTTTGAAATTTCTTAAAAACAGCCTTTTCTGTTCCCCTTGACTGAGGGTTTTTGGTTTTTTGTTTCTTTGTTTTGTGTGTGTGTGTTTTTTTAAGTCAGCGTATTCTTATTTAGTGAGATCTGTGTTCCAGGAAGTGTGTACCCTCATTTGTTCATTTACAACTGCAAAGATTTGTATGTCTCCTATGTTTTCCTTTCGTGCCAAAGAAACTCACCCTTTTAAAAAGTCAGCAGGTTGCACAAACTGAAAAAATGTTTGTCCCTTAAGTAAGCATTCTTAAGAATTTTTATTTCCTGGGATTTAAATATTTTCCAAAGGAAAATACCCTCAATTTTAAAGTTAAAGCCAGTAGTAAAAATGCATGTGTTTTAGGAATGCACTAGTTCCATAGGAAACAATACTGACAATTTTAAGGAACTATGCTGCATTAAAATCCACAATTGTATGGAACTTTTTTAAAGCTGATAAAAGATATAAAGTAACTGCTCAACTTTATGTATATTTGTGAGCTGCTCAGGGTTCAGTGCCCTGATTTATAGGGGATTGATCACTATCTGTAGGGCCAGATGTCCTGTGAATGTACATGTTCATTTTAAGGGAGCTGAAGCTGCTGCCTTAAAGCTAAACCTGCTGCCTTTAAACGTTGCTACCTCCCTCCCTCCAATCGTGGCTGTAAACAGTGACTCTGAACAGTCAGGTAGCATTATACTTGATTTTATTGTGAATGCTAAAAAAATAAAATTTGTAAGTCCACCAAGCATTGACTTAACTAGGTAAATGTAAGTTGTCTTTCTCCAAGTCTACTTGATAGCTTTTATAATTTGAAATGAAGTACATCAATACGGATCTGAGCCTTGTGTTTCAGTTACTGTGAGATAATCATTTTCTTCCTATTTGGAAATGATAATGAACATTCAGAGTATTTATTTCCATTCTGATGATACTGAGCAAGTTTCTTAACCTCTGAGCCATTAGTGATAACTACTTGATAAGCTTAGTGTGAAGAATAAATTAGATAATTTATGTAAATTCACTTTAACAGTGCCTAGTAGCCTAGTACCTAGTAAAAAATAAATGACAGCTATGAGTAATATATATACCATTGTAGTACATAGTAATTTGTTTTTTGGTATTGGGTTCTATAACACCATGTAAAGTCATCTAAATATTAGATCTTATGTGAGTAGCCTAGACTGCAGCAAGTGAAGAGAAAAATGTTTTGCCTTTTTATTGTGGAGAATATTAATATAGGTGGACCGAAGAGTATAATGATCTCTCCATGTACTTATCAAGCAGTCCCAACACCCATGGTCAGTCTAATCCCATCCATTCCCCATTGCCTCTTCTCATAGTTTTTTTTTCCAAAATAAATCCTAGAGATTATATCTTACCTATAAATATTCAGTACTTATCTCAAATGATAAGGTCTCATTTTTAAAAACAAACCATGTTACCATTACATCTAAACATACACACAAATCCTTAATCATCATATAACCAGTATTAATGCTCCAGTTTGTAGGAAATTGTTTTTAGTCGCAGTACTGAGATGCACGAGAAGTAAATATAATGAATACAGAGGAGGTTACTCTTAAAGATGAAAGATTTCTGTTACAAGGACAGTAGGCACCGAAGTAGACAAGTTTGGAGGTACAGACAAGCGATTAAAGGAAAGAAAGTAAGTGGAAAGGTAGAGGTAATGTTGAATGTAGGGGCTATGCTTTGCATATCCAGAATCTAGTGTTTTCTTATGGACATAGACACAAATGTTTACTGAGTAAAAAAATGGAGTAGATAAATATGTGCAGTTGCCAACAGCAACCAAGGAATGACTTAAGAGAAAGTGTTAAGTTTTTGAAATACAATCAACAAAGCATGGGAGGAAACGTAAGTGGGTGAGCAGGAAAGTGAAAATAGGTGGTAATATAGGCACAGAATTTAGAGATTATTAGGCAGGTGAAAAAAGGTTTTCTTCTTTTAGAAGAAAACAAGATAGGAAAGGATAAGGACAACCCTATATTCTAACACGCCAGTGTTGTGATCAAGAGGGGATCAACAGAGAAATAATTTAGGATAAACTCATCACAGCCATTTATCTGAATTTATAAAGAAGCCTTAAACCACGTGGCTGACTAGAATTCCCATAATGCATGATACAGAGTATGGGCTACAGAACTGTGGTTCTCAAACTAGGGAGTCCAATTTTGCAGACACAGAGGAATACCTGGACATCTTTTCCCCAACCCACTGAACAGAGGATCACTGTAGTCTGGCCTGATAGCAGGATGCTTGCTACACTGGGATGTGGTCCCCTCAGCTTGGGGTGGAGAAACCTATGATTATTGTTGTTTCTTCATTGCCAGGAAGGCAGTAGAGTAATAATAATAAATAACATGCAGTGCGAGCGCCTTCTTACAGTTTTTGAAGCAGTTTCACCTTCTTTGATCTTTAAAAAGATCTTTTGAAATTGAAAGATTAATACTCAAAGTGCTTAAATGACACCTCTGTCTAAGGTCACAGAGCAGTGATGAGACCTGAACCCAGCCCTGAGTCTTCTAGATCTAGTTTTTTCCCATCACATTCCATGCTTGATGAAACCCAAAGAGGATAGAGTCCAATATGTTTAATTATGTCAGATAAAATTAAAACTTTAATGAATCCTACTAAATTATTTAAATTCAGCTGTTTGATTCAGCAAAAAATTTAAATGCTTGCTTAAAATGTTTAATAGGTCTAAGTTGTAAAATCCATTCAAGGATTTAGGATTAACAGGTTTACTTAACATCTAATTAGTTTCTAATAATTAGGTCTATAACACTTTTCAAGGGGACTGAAATTGATTTCTTCTTTAAAAACATTAACTTTTTGGTATATTGTCCTATGAAAGTTGAAATGAATCCTCTTGTTTATATAATTCATTTATGTTTAAAATTTTCTAAATATATTATGCACTAGCATGTAACTATGGCCATACTTCTGGTAAACTTTACTTTGTCAAATTTCTAATAAGCCAATGGAAATACTTTTTCTAAGAGAAAGGAGTTCATAGAAAAAAAACTACCTTGATTATTAATCAAGTTTGAGTCTAATTAAAATATGTAAAAATACTTTAAAGCACTGCACAATCAGGGCACATTACTATTCCTTTTATAGTGCTAAGCCTACAAAAATGCAAACATTAGGAAATTATTTTTGTGTATGTGTGTATGTATGTATGTGCGTGTATATATATGTGTGTGTGTATGTATGTGCGTGTATGTATATATGTGTGTATGTATATATGTGTGTGTATATATATATATGTGTGTGTGAGTGTATGTGTGTGTATATATAAAAGACCCTTTTCGGTAGTAAAACCTTGCTTTAATTAGAGTATCAGCTGCTGGTGATGTGATGTTAAATAACTGGGTTGGTCTATAAAGCTACCTTCAAATAGAGTAGGATGCTAATATGCAAGACTCATGGCCACTTAAAACAGGGCAGGTCAGGATGATCAGCCATACTATAAGAGCAAATCTTTGTTATTTCTTCCCATAAAAATGGGATTATAAATACTTGCCTTTCAGGTTAGTGATGTTGGTTCCCCTGGAGTGTAATTCCACGACAGTAGGGAATTTGTTCAAGGCTGTATTTATTCACTGCCTAGAATATTGCCTGGAATATATTAGGCCTAAAATAAATCCTTTTTACATAAATGCATTAATTGATGCAGCATGCTTTTTAAGGTGCACGACAGAAAGTTTTCAGGCTTAAAATCATCAGCATATCAAATGTGTTAATTGTCACATAATCAATCTCTATGTATTTCCTTTCCTCCCTTCCTCTCTCCTTTCCTACATTTTTCATGAAAGTATAGATCATCTGCTAATGTTTACCTTTATGTCATAAGATCATAAGAGGTTAGTTTCTGCTATGAGGCAATAGCTCTATTCAATTATCCATGAAACAATTACTGAGGACCTGCTCTTGGCCAGGCATCATGCTAGGCACTAGGAAGACAAAGCCAGGTGAATGGTTCTCATGAGGCTCACAGACCTACCTGAAGCTCTTTGTGATATACAGAGCTGGTCACTGCATTACTTTTTGTGATGCGAGAGATGCTGACAAGGCAGAAAATCTAGAGAATCAGAATGATCCTAAATATTTTTCTTTGTGTATCATTTCCCTGCATTTTTAAAAAAAGAAACAGAGACCTACTGTATTCGTTGTAAATATAAAGTATTTTTTTTAAAGTTCTTTAAAAAATATTTTTATTGAAGTATAGTCAGTTTAAATTGTGTCAATTTCTGGTGTAGAGTACAATGTTTCAGTCATATAGGAACATACATGTATTCTTTTTCATATTCTTTTTCACCGTAAGTTACTACAAGATACTGAATATGGTTCCCTGTGCTATACAGTATAAACTTGTTTATCTATTTTATATATACTAGTTAGTATCTGCAAGGATTTTTTTTTATCATGTCAAACATTTAATTGCTTAGACACATAAATCCAAATACAGTTAACCCTGAATTATAAATTAGACCTAGGAATTTGAACAAGAAAATTTTATGGAAATTAAGATGTCTAACTTAAATATTTTATCCAAATGAAATTATTTTTTATAAACCTAATGCTGTTGGACACTTATTTTGTTTTAATGTTATTTTTACATACTCTCAGTTATGAGGAATAACTTCAATGCTTTATAACTAGCAGTGCTTTTAAAACATGCAGTGTATGTTTTGAAGTTTTTCTACTCTGTAACCTGAATT